AAAAAAAAGGTTATTTCTTTGTCTTAAAGAATTTTTAAAAAATGAGTTAGTCATAAGACTTATTCATCTTTCCAGGGAACATATTGATTGGTCTTAAAGACTAGACAGTTAAGTAAATGATGGCTGGAACATCTATTTTTTCTACAAAACTGGAAAAATGAACCTGGTTTGAGAAGAATGTACAACAAAATAAAACATGTGAAACAGTAAAAAAAATAAAAATAAAAAAATAAAGTTATTGTTTAGGATACAGCAAGGGAAGTGTTAATATAGTTTTCTTTTTAACATCTCTGACTTTGTTCTAACCTGACACTATAATTAACCCCCTCCTCTCACTGTTCTACCCTTGCCTTTTAATGCACTAATCAGATTTGTGTCTTCCAGAAATGTCATCAAGCCACATACAGTAAAGATGGCTGCAGTCCAAGACCTGATTCTATAGTGGACCCCTGGATCACTCTCCCTCCAGAGAAACCCTAACTGCACCGTCCTATCTTCACCTGGTTCAGCAGGAAGCAGTTAGATGGAGTCTTCCTCCTTTTCCCCTGACAGCAGTTAGACTTTCTACTGGGAGAGGGAGAGTTGACACAGGACAAGTGGTGTCCCAGCCAGCTTGGTGGAGCTGGGGAGAGCGGACCAGCTGCCTCTGCCTTGGTGGTGTTGGTGCAATGGCAGTGAGCAGAGGAACCAGTGGGCTGGAGAGTAGGCAAGGGGGCCCCACAGGAGGCTCCAGTAGCTGGAGGGGCAAGACAACTGCTGGGGAGACACCAGCACCTTAGGTTTCCCTCCCCTCACACTTGCAGCTAAACAGGGAACCCCCATTTCCTAGGCCTGGTCAATTTAATATAAGTTTCTTAGGCCTGGGAATAAAAGGGATTGTAGCCAATCATTTACATCCCAGACACAACCTAGACCTGTCCCAGACATGTCCCAGACAAGCTATCCCAGATACTCTAAATGTAACTACAGAGGGTCCCAGACACACTAAATGTAACTACAGAGGGTCCCAGACATGCTAAATATAACTACTGAACCCTGTTAAATGTAACTACCCAGGGCCCCATGTAACTATATATACCCCTAAACAAAGCCCAGAGTGAGACAGACAGAGAGTGAAGAGAGTGCTTTTTACTCCCAACTTGGGAGCTTTGGTGGTTTTGTATTCTTTTCTGCAAATAAATCCTGTCTTACCACTGATCTGTGGTTCATGAATTCATTCTTTGAATCACCAAGACCAAGAACCTACTGAAGTCAAAATTCCAGTATCACTGGGAAGTTTTCATTTATGATAGTCTCCAGTGGGGCTTCCATTCCTTTGGGACAATCTTCTTTCCCTTTAAGGAATCCCTATCATTCATGTTTTAATGCTTCGTGGAGTCTCAGAGTTCTCTAAGCACCCACCCTATGCTTTCTCTCTTTTTTTCTCTCTTTGACTGCCTGGGTTAACTTGAAAACTTTATCTTCCAACTCTGAGGTTTTTCCTTCTCTGTGGTCTAACCTATTTTTGATACTTTCTACTGGCTCTTTACATTCCCTGATTGTAAAGCTCCACAATATCCTTTCTGTATTCTACATATCTCTCATTCTTAAGCTCCACAATATCTTCCTTAAGCTCTGCAAAATCCTTTCTGTATTCTACGTATCTCTCATCCGATTTTTGGTTCTGTCTTTCCAATTTCTCATCCATTCCTTTCATTATCTTTATCATCCATATTTTAAATTCCCTTTCTGTCAATTCCACTAATTCTTTATAGGTGGAGTCTTTTGCTGTAGCTGCCTCATGGTCCCTTGGAGGAGTTGCTTTGTTTTGGTTTCTCATGTTGCCCAAATTTTTCTGTTGGTTCCTCTTCTTGTGTTGTTTCTTCTTGTTCACCTCTTGTCCTCCTTTTTCCTTCTCACTGCCTCCTTTGCTTCAAATTACCTTATCTCACAGCTTAGGTCTTGAAATGGCCTCACTCTGAGCAAAGCCAAACTTTCTTCTGGCCGAAAAAACAGAAGTCCTTCCTGTTGATGACAGTATGTTGCAATATGTCACCGGGACACCAGGTGGTGTTGCGCTTTTTTAGGAGACAGAGCACAGCCTGCAACCTCTATGGTCCTTATTCCTAACTTAGTTGTCTTTGGTGATCACCTGATTGTTTCCTCAGCATTCAGACTCTGCAAGAATCTTTCAGGGGCAGGTCTTACAGTGCCTCCTGACTCCAGTTCCCATGGGGTATGTGAGTCCCTCAGTCTGTCCCAAAAATGAAGTTCTGATCCCAGCAGGCAGAATTAAGATGGCTGTGATTTAGGTCCCTGATAAGACCTTCTCCAGACTTCCCATATGGTAGCTCCCTGGCCTACAAGACCGTCTCAGTATGGCTGCCTCAACAGCCACAAAACCTATGGCAAATCCACTTCAGCCCACATTCAAATCTGGTTGCTGTATACTGTTCAAGTCTGCCCACTCTTCCAAGCTTTCCACTCAATGCACAATTTCCACCAATAACTGAAAACTCCAGAGAGGCTTTCTCCCATCCCAGACCTTCATGGGGTAGCCAGCTGATCCCAGCCATTGGCAATCGCTTGCCCAAATCTTCAGATTTCCACTGCTCAGAATCATATGCTGTATCCACCTCACCTCACTGTAGCTATGACTCTGGGTACGGTCCCCAAGCCATGTATGGCTGGGTTCTCTCTTTTTCCCTAGTCATTCTAGGGGAGCTCAGCTGAATAATCCTTCTGGTCCACCATCTTGCTCAGCCCCTGGAAATTATATTTTTAATGGAACTAGGAAACCCTGAAAGAAGAATACAGAGGACAAACTCCATATGTCACAAATTCCTCTGTGATTCTGCTCTTTGAGCTGCAAGCACACAAAAACTTATTAATAAGTTTCATCACTTAAAAGTGAGTCATTAAAAGTCATTTTATTAAAAATAACTTTTTCTTATAAAAAAGTAGAAAGGAGAAAAAGCTAAGTCATTTTTTTCAAAGTAGTGGGAACACTGGTCATAAAGTGATTTCTTATTTCCCTGGCTGCAAAGGCCCAGCACTTGTTTTTGAAATGAGGGAGAATCAGAAATGTGAATTGGAAACACCCCCCCACACACACCACATACACACACTATGACCTAGTAAACATGCATTCTGCCCAGTTCCTTTATCATAACAAGTTTTTAAAATTGTATGTAACTATTCATCAAGAAATGATCACTTATTATACTTTGAAAGTTTAAAAATTAAAAATGGCTCCAATTTCTGCATGTTTCAATTGGAAAACAAGATCCATATTCTCTGATGTACCCTGACATGATATAATTTAAGGGAACAAAATTTTGAAAGCACTTTTGGGGAAGAACAAAATTTTTGCTTCAGAGTGTACTTTACTACATGGTGACCTGAGTGAGGATAAACTAGTATGTGTTAATGTCACAGTCAGGTAGACGGCCAGTTCAGAGTTCACTATACTACATGGTGACTTGAGTGAGGATAAATGAGTATGTGTTAATTCCACAGTCAGGTAGGCCGCCAGTTCAGAGTTCACTGTACTACATGGTGACTTGAGTGAGGATAAATGAGTATGTGTCAATTCCACAGTCAGGTAGACTGCCAGTTCAGAGTTCACTATACTACATGGTGATTTGAGTGAGGATAAATGAGTATG